GTTTTTTTAAATGGTATATAAAACAGTGATGGGTTTTACATTTCACGGGCATCTTAGATTTGATGAAATACAGAAGGTTTGCTCTGCGGCCTGCCTAAGAGGAGAATGGACCCAAAACAATTGCTGATCGTATGCTGGAAGATGGAGGACATGCTGAAGACGAGAATGGCGTTAACAGCATGCTCATAGAATAATGACCATTCCGAAAAATATATGTTTCAAGTTATCTTTCAAGCATTTAAGAGACTGAAAATCGATAGATTGATTACTTAAAAGCCAAAAAGACCCAAGCTACTGGGTAGTAATTAGTGTGGTTTTATGAAGACCCAATTCTATCAATTTAACTTAATTTCTCTTTTTGATAAAGTATATGCTTCTTAGATGAATAATAGGCCTTAGGGAAATAAATCAAAAGCCGAACTTTTGTTTCCATTTTATATGACATTAGTAATGACAAAGTGGGAACTGGGTGTGGATCATCTTTAGTGAATGTTGTTTCCAAGGCACAGATTGAACAGTCAGTAGCCTCTGAAGTATTTATTATATTTGACTTGTCCATCCACCCAACTTATTGACCTCTTTCGTAATTGCATTTTCTACCACCTCATAAGTTCAGAAGAGAAATCCAGGTGACCTTGGCAAAATTGATAATTTGATTTGATTAAATATGGATATAGTTTTAGTAATGACAATGAAAGACATTGCTCGGTTTAAACTTTTTTTCCAGGTAAGAGATACTGGAGAAATTTTGAGGTTCATATTTTTTAAATGAATGGCTTATAATAAGGTCTAAAGTATGTTTTAATAATTTGACACAAATTAATATATTATTTAGAATTATCTTCTATATTAAGGTATAAAATAAAATTTAAAATACATTGAGAACCCCCAAAACCCTTATTTTGATTGTTTAATTTTTTAAAGAGAATTTTTGCCTCAAAATTAAAACTTTGAGTGTTTACCTTGTTTACAGTTAACAGTCATGATAAGCAATACATTAACTGTTGACTTGAGGCATACCATGTAATGGGGCGGGGGGGTGGTTCTTAGTCCTATGTCATTACCAAATTGGTAATTATTATTTCTAGCTCCCTTATATAATTGTAGCGTGTGTTATTAATTCTCAAAGAATGAGAATAAAATAAGAAATTGCAATATTTAAATTACATCTAGATTTATTTGATGATTCCGAAGTTAACCTCAGCATTTTGCACTGTTTTGAGGTCATTGTGTGCTGGTTATAAAGATTTCTGGTTGGAAGAATGCTGGATATATCTTTTGCTGTATTTGATTGCACCTTAAGTAAATACAGGACAAATGTGAACTCTTCTCTTCTAAAGCAGCTTTAATTCAACTCTATGGGACAGCATAGAATAAAGTTATTATTAAACACATTAACTTGTGCCACATTCGAAATTATGACTTTGTTGCTTTCGTCAAGGTCTTCTCTGTTTCCAAAGTCTGTGGGTACTTTTCAGTGTTCTTATATGACCTTCAGCAGTATTTGTCACAGGCGATCATTCCCCTCTTCACGCCTTCCAGGACACCACACTCCTTTGATTTTCCTCCTTCCTCCCTGGTCTCTCCTTCTCACTGTCCTTGCTTTTCCTTGCTCTTCTCCCTGACCTCGTCAGCTGGGGTACTGCAGTGTTCATTTCACTGTTTTTGTTTTTCCCCCTCTATGCTCAGTTCCTCGAAATATTCTGATTAATTTGCTTTACGTACCATCTATATGCTTATGACTCTCAAATTTATATTTCCAGCCTAGAACTCGTCTCCAGACTCCTATAACCAATAGCTACTACACATCTCCACTTGGGTGTCTGTTAGACATTGCGAATGTAACATGTCCAGAGCTTAATCCTAATATTTGCCGCCCCCTGCCACCTTCTCTACTTGTAGACTTTCCTCAGTTAATGGCAACTTTGTTCTTCTTATTGCTCATTGAATTGCTCTCTCATTCATGTCCTCATGCAGTCTGTCGAATAATCCTGTTTGCTCTACCTTCAAAATAAATCCAGATTCTGACTGCTTCTCACCACCTCCATTCCTCCTACGCTAGGCTGAGCCTCCATATTCTCCTACCTATATTATTGCAGTAGCCTTTCAGCTGGTCTCGCTGTTCCCATCCTTGCCCCCTTATGGTCTTTTCTCAACCAAACCTAGAGTAATTATTTTATAACGAAAGTCCAATCATGTCATGTCACACATTTCTTCCCCATTTCACTCACAGTAAAACCCAAAGTCTTTACATCAGCCTTATAAAGTCTTACAGAACCTGGCCCACTCGTTACTTTTCTGAATTTTTTCATCTCCTACTAGTCTTCCCTCTACTCAATCACCTCAGCCCCCTCGTCCTTGAAACAAACCAGAGTCCCACAGTCCCACCTCAGGGCCTTTGCACAGGTTATTCCTTTGCTTGAAACACTTTTCTCAATATCTCCATGTGCATTCCCTCATCTCCAGGGCTGCCACATACAATTTTCACCAAAAGTCACTTATAGGGCACCTTCAGGCGTTGTGCATTGTCAACCTGCCCAGCTCAGTGCTCAGTCCCCTTGTGTGTAAGTCTGTGTATGAATGTCACTTTATTGGGATGCCAATTCCAACCACCCAATTTCAATTTGAAGTCATGTCATCTATTCTGATGTCACCTTTGTTCTATTTTATCCCTCCCCATAGCACTTTATCACTTTATTCATTTACTTGCTGTTTTGATTGTCCTCTTCCCCTTACTAGAGTGTAAGCTCCATGAGGGCAGAGATTTTTGGCTATTTCATTTACTCTCTACATTAAATGTCTAGAATAACTGGCAATAGGTAGACACTCAACAGATATCTGTTGAATAAATAATTTAAGATATCTTGGGGTTTTAAATGTATTTAAAATAGAAGAGAAGGACGATTCAATCAGTGAGTTTTTGAATTAATATATTTCCGTAGATATATTTACTAGAATGTTAAAACTTCTATTTTTAAGAGTTTTATTTTTACCTGCATATGTCCATTCATATGTGCTTTATTCCACAAAAAGAATCCATAGCTACATTCGTAAAACTTGGTGACTTATCATGAAGCAAAGGAGTTTCAAGTGGTAACCTCACTCAGCAGTTATGTTTGATAAGCTTTCCAAGTCTAATTAGCGTCCGTGGATCTTCGAGTAGCAATTAAAAAATCCCTGCATGTTATTTATTGATTCCTAAATAATATTATAGCTGGGTTTATTGTTATTTATGGTATACTATGGTAGAAAATGGGTGTTATTCAAGTGCAGATAGTGATTAAATCATTAACATGGCTAGGGAATTAAGCTTAACAGTTTTTTAAATGGCTAAGTAGTGATCTGGGAGAAATGACATATTTCTGATATATTTTATCATGCCCTGGTACCCTCTCTGTGAAATGATGACACAGCCAGTGTTTACATGTAAGCAAAAGGAGTGAGTTTTTTTTAATAGTAGGGAAGAACGTTTATCAGCAGATTTGAAGCAATCCATATCGGTAGTGCAACAGCCCTTACTGACGTCTCAGATATATATGTTCAAAGCCTCCATGATGGTTTGGAAAGAGGAGCTGGATTACCTTCTTCACAGTTATGATGCCAACTTGGAAGTTGGGGTCTGTGTTAATGTCAAAGGCATCGGCACCGTCTCCATCCACAATCGTGTACTTCATCTCTGCGTTGATTCCTTCGTCCAGGTCCTTGGCAAACACTCTCCCCACAGTGGAGCTAATGGGAGCCGATTCCAACACACTCATCTGATAATGTTCTGTGAAGAAAGGTCAGAAAATGCAGTCTTGTAATCTGTCACTATAAAAAAATGCCTTGTCACTATCACATTATATCGGGCATGCTGTGCAAAACATCTTTCTCCTGGTTCAATAATTTAACCTTGAATTTTACAGATGAAAACTGAGAATCAAAGAGCCTGAGCCAATGGTGTTAGGTCATAGCCTGTACTGGACGTTCGGTAAGAAGGGGCCAAAATAGCTTGGTTGTCATCCTAAGAGTAGGACGGGACAAAATCAAAAACATTTCTTATCTCAGTGGATCTGCCTTCTTGGTGGCAGGAGGTACCTCGCTTTCCAGTCTTTGAACTATTTCCCCACATCTTAGTTCCTTCTGAGAGAAGAAACCGGTGTGGTCACAAAGTACAAATTTATTCTGTGCACATTGCGAATGCCTGCATTTTCCTTCACAGCCTTGCCTGTGTCCTGAGTGTCCATCTCTGCGACCACCTGCCCAAATTTAGGGGTGACCAGTGATCTATGAAGGAGGAACAGCCGCAGAGAACAAGCTCCATCAGAGCTGTGTATTGTCCATCAATGTGTCCTTGCCCCTGGGACTGCCCACTGGTGGCCTCGTCCTGGACAGGCTGCCGATACTTCTTGTCTCCTGTTCCAGAATAGAATACTCCAGAGTCGTATCTTCACTAACTTGCTTTCTCTGGGCCTCAACTTTTTGACATTCTTTATTATTTTGTCAACCATAATGTGAAAAACTAAATAACAAAGAAAATCACACAGTCACGTTTTCAACATGTACATGATCTCTTTTATTCTAATATGTTTTGCAAACTACAGGGAGGCCTGGGGTGTGTGGGCTCGATTTCACAAAGACTCGGGGAGGCTGGTAGCACCCAGCCAGCTCCCAGTTCCCTCTCTTGCACAAGAGAAGAAGCGATGCCTGTTCTTTGCCAGTATGAGCCAGGAAATAGCTAATGTCTGTACTGAGCTGGCAGGCATTTGGATTTCACGATCTCTTTCCATTCATTTCCAAAGTTGTTTATGGATTAGACTTTGCTATTGCAGGACTTTTGGGAAAAACAAACCAGTATCTGCCTGCAAGCTTCTCCACAGCAGGCAAACTATGTTCTATGTTTAAACAAATATACATACAATTTCTACATGTAATGCATTATATTAGAAATAAATAACTTGAGGTCTTAATATTCTGTTATATTTGATTCAGTTAAAGGTGACAGAGCTTGTTCAATATAAAAATAGTAGGTGTGTCATTTTGTCAACATCCCATAATAAGTTATGGTAATATTTGTGAAAAAAGAGGAAAATGGAATTCGAAGAATGCAGAATGAGAAGATGAATAATGCAGAACTCATCTAAGGTAGGTTTATGGAATAACGGGATCGTTTAAACTTAGTTTTGGCAAATAGGCAGGGAAATGTTTGATGATGAGATAAAGACAATTTTTCAAAAGTCCAAAGCTAAGACTACTTTATGAGAAGCAGAGGCAATGTATGAAGACTGGGGGACACACAGACCACCTTTACACATTTCCGTTTTGTCTTGCATGCAACATGTTCCGTAATTCCACTC